TTCCCAAGGTGAACAAAGGAGAGGCCATAACCCAGCGGTTTCCAGCTGGAGGCCGTGGCTGACCGGTGGAAAAGCTGCTGCCCGGCGGGAAGGTGTGATGTGATGCAGAAGGGGCCGCGGTGACACATGGGGGGATTGGAGGCAGGACTGCAGCCTGCGGGCCAAAGGGTGTGGGAACCGGCTGCTCGTTTGTCAGCTCCCGGGCAGCACCCGGCGATCGGCTGAGCTGCCCGCGCTGGGAGAGGAGCTCAGTTTTCTGTAGCATCAGTTCCAAGCAGCAGCACTCCAAGCAGCATTAATTCAAACAGCAGTCGAGATAACACCCTGTCCTCAAGCTCCCTGGGTCAGTTTGGTTTGAAATTAATAACATTCCTAAACTTGAGATACCTGGATTCATCAGGGCTTTAATTCCTAACATATGGTGCTCATGCGGTGTCGGAGGTGCCTCCTGCAGCAGGTGAAGGATGCCTCCCGCACGGCCGTGTGCCAGCCTGGGAGCAGGAGCAGGGACCAGTGGGTCCTGCCAGGGTGACGCTGCCTCTTGGGGCGCAGGGCTGAGCAGGTTTCCCCCTCCTCATCGCCATGCTCCCCGTGTCTGTCCGGCAGGCAAGGTTTGGGAAGGGGCTGGGACTGCTTATTGTTGTGGGGTTGTTTATGGACACATAGATCCTGCAGCCTGCCAGGGCGGGACGGGGCGAGGGGAGGCTGGGGGCAGGCAGTGGGCGAAGGGCTGCCTGGAGAATTTCCAGCTGCAGGAAGAAGTCATCCATTTCCAAGTCTGTGGCATCTTCCTTTGGGCACTCAAACGAAGTACATACCCAGCAGCAATTGGGAGCACTGATGTACTCCTGTTTAAAAACCTGGAGAGCCTTTGCCTTGATTTCCCTTAATACAACTCGAGCTGCACAGCAGCAAACACCATTTGAACCTTGGCAGGGAACGTGTCCTGGCTCTGCCAGCTCTCAGGTCTGGCCCTTTGCTCTTTGTTAATGGGGAAGATGCATTTTTTGGAAACAGAGGCTGCCTCTAAGACGTGCAAACTGTTTTATGACAGTTTTCATTTGCATAATGAAGGCCCTGATACCTTCAGTAATTAATCACATTAAGAATTGCTTCCTTGAATAACTCTATTCATGCAAGTTGTTCTTAGTGCTGGAAGCTGCATATGATTTCCAACGTGCATTAGCCGATCTCTTTCATCAGCAGATGGAAGCTGGTAACTGCATGTGTAATTTATATCTGCTTGGGTGGAATTATCAGATGAAATATGCATTACACGGCGCCATTAACATTTCTAGTCATACAGTCTTTAGCTCTTGGGTAGGTTAATATTACATGCCAACAGTATGTGGGACCGTATGAAAGGCAAGGACTTAAACACAGGGATTTAAAAGCAGAAATGGAAAGTATTCCAGGTCAGACACATCAGAAATAGAGTTAATGAAGCTGCTAAATTAATGAGATGCATTGCCCTTTTTTGACCTGATTTTTTTTTTATAAAATGTCCCATCTTGTCTCCATAGCTAAGAAAGCTGCCAGGCTTGCCTGCCGAATTGCCACTTGTAAGGGCAACTCCTGATCCTTTAACATCTGGAAAGCTTTCACCCATAGGATAGCACAAGCAGCAGGAGAATAAAGATCAAATCTCAGAAGGCAGCAGGGAAGATGAACACTGCTGTGTGGGTTTGGATTTGTCAGTATCCTTGACAAATTTTGAAAAAAAAATTCACATCAATTCAATAGTAAGACAAAAAAAAAATCAGTGACGACTTTCCTTTTTGACGACAGTGCCAGGTTAGCCAGGAGCCTCGTGTTCAGATGTGTGTTGGTTTAAGCATGAACATTTTTATAGGAGATAAAGTCTGCTGTCTTGGAGTGCATTTTTTCATGTGCTTTTTTGTCTTTATATAAATCATGGTTAATTAAAATACTGATTCCTGCTTGATAGGAAGCAATTAAAAGACTGAAGCTGTAGCCCATCTGCCTCTTATGTGTAGAGATGGAGAGAGAGTCCAATCCAAGCTGGTGCAGCGTGGGCTCGCGGGGCTTTCTCCCAGCCCTGCTCTCGGGGCACGGTGCCCTCGCCCAGCCGGCGTTACCCTCCGTGTGCTGAGCAGCCGGTCAGGGCCGGGCCATCCTACAGCTCCCGCTGCTTGAGGGTTTTGAGCCTTCAAAGAGGATTTTGGGGCCCAATGAGTTTTAACTGTTTTCAGGCCAAGCTAATTCTGCCCTGACTGGGACACTGGGGAGCGTGCGTTGGCCGTTTGCTGGTGCAGTGGGGAGGATGCAGCAGCGGCCACGAGCTGCACGGGGCGAGCACGACGGGCAAACCCATCGGCCTCCTGCCTCGCTGATGATGCTGAGGCAAAGGGACGCATCCTGAGCAGAGCCTGAGGGTGCTGCCTGCAGATTGCAAAGGTCAAAACTGCTTCAGCTCACTCCAGCTGTACAGTTCTGCTCGGGGCTGAAGCCCCGGACCTGTCCCGAAGTCAGGCTGAGGCAGTGTGGGGTGGCAGCTGGAGTTCCCTGGGTTTACAGAGACTTGCCATCGCTCCTGGCAGCACCCGGCGATGCACTGCTGCTGCTCCCAATTGTTCATTTCTGTCCAAGAGAGAAAGAAAAAGCATCTCTGCAAAATCCAGACTTGGACTTTGCTTAAAGCCTTTGAGTAAAGAGCCTTGTTTGAATGTAATTGCACCCCTGTTGCTACAAGGGGAAAATACACTGTATTGCTCTCTCTTTCTTGGAAAGCTCGGCTAGTATTTTCCCAGCCATTTGTGTATAAAGAAAGATAAATAGCTCTTTAGCAGGCAGAACAATCTATCCCGGTTTTATTGACATTCATGCTAGCAGACAAGGAGAAACAGTTTGGCGGGGCTGAGCGTAGGGGAGGGGGAAGCTCCAGCCCGGCGGAGCTGGAAGCACCCGGAGAGGCTGGGCGGGGGGTACCAGCGCACCGAGGGGCTGCTCGGGCACAGGGTGGGAGAAGCCAGCGAGCTCGGCTGCCCGGCCTCGGCCCCGCATGTGTGTGCCTCTCCCGTGGGTCCCCCCCGACCCGCAGCAGTCTGCAGGAGGCACTCGCTGCCTCACCCATCGTTTCACTCCTCCCTACAAATAAAAAATGCGTATAGCAAATTTAGCTCTGGCTTCACACACAATGGTGCTATAGATAGATTGTTAAAGAGCTTGTCTCAGAGTAGTAATTCACGGGGAGATCAAAAGGCTATGGTTTAATCTGGGATCTGTCTGATACCATAAACCTTGCAGAGCGCTAAGAATTCAATGAGCAGCATCAAAAGCCTGATAAACATGAAAGCCACCCAGTTTTCTGCCTGTGAGGCTGGCGTGGCTTACAATGGGTGCTGAGGAGCTGGAAAGATGCAGATCTCCTCCGCAGTGCTTGGGTGCCACACACAGAGTCCTTCAACTTCAGGCTCCTGGAAGAGGTGCCCAGACGCTCTTAACATCTCAGTTGCTACCTGCAGCTCCACCGACTGTATAAAGAGATAAGATTTCTAATTAGATGTCTAATTACACAGCGTAGGTAGGCTGCAGGCTGCACTCCGCCGCTTGGCATCACCTTGTCCTCCGTGTCTACAGATCACGCAGTCTGTGTTGATTCTCCAAAGTGATGCAGCAGGGGCATCCCAGGAAAGAGGGGGGCTGGCGACAGAGCGGGGGCACCTCCCGTCCCCGTGAGCCCACCGGGCCGGCGCAGCAGCCCCTGGGGAGGCTCCATGGTGGCTGGCTGTCCTCAGGGGGACAGGACGCCACGGAGAGGGCTGCACCACCCTGGCACCTTAGCGGGAAAAACTTAGAAGCTGCTTCCAATTTGACAGACTGATGGAAGATACGGCCAGAGCCCTCCACAGCCTGTTTTCTGGTAGACCACAACTAACAGCATGTGGAGAGAGCCAAGAGCCATCGGGGAGTGAGGGCAGAGCAGGCACAGGTTGAGGCTTGGGTCGGTCATGCTCGCTCACGTTCATCACCTTGCTGCGGCCGCTTGTCCCCATGATGTCCCCTTTGCTGAGTCCCAGCTCTGTTACAGCACCCTTGACATTATTAGACTGTTAAAATAAGGGATTTGTAACCTCTGCTTTCCAGCACATCAAGCTAATCCAAAGGATTGCTTTTTTTCATATCCGCACTGCCAGTAACGGATGTGCTGGTTTAGATAAATTGAGGATCTGGCCCAGGAAAGCTGGATTTCAGATAGGGACTGCGAAAAATATGGAGTATGGAAATGCTGTGTCTGGAAGCCGAAAATAGTGCCTAAAATGGGGCCAGTAAGGATCAGTGCTGTAAACACAGGTCTCTGGAGTGGAAGGGCTCTGCAATGCTTCTAGCTGTCAGCAAAAGCAACATTTAAAAGCCAGCGGTTTAATTTTGAACACAAGTGGAGGTGAGTTCAGACTGAAGACACCTGCAGGTGAGGAGCTGGGTTTTTCTCCAGAGATACCGAGCCCACTGAGGTTAATGTGATTATGTAAATGACTGAGGTATAATTGCGTTATTGCCACCCATCTGGCCCTCCCTGCAATTCATAAGTGATTTTATATTCCCCCTGCACTGCAGTGCTGACATACAAGGGCACTGGAGAGGCCATAAATCTCTGCTTGGTTTTTGCTGCAAGTGCCATCTCCCTGTCAAGCCTCTGGTGCAGAATCCTGCCGGACAAGGCAGGGCCCATGCTTCAGGGACATTCTTCCCAGACCCGAATCGATGCCTCTGGATGTAGTCTAGAGGATCGAGCTCCACTTCTCCTCTCCCAAAGGACACGCCTGACAAAGCCAGGATCCTGCCCAGCATCCCAGCTACAGCAGCAGGTCCTTCCCAACATGGATTTTCTTAGCAGAATAAAACAAATTCCCACTTCTCTCAGGCGCTGGGATTAAACACAAACCTGACATTTTCATGTAAAACACTAATACTGCACGCTGTCCCAGGTACCCCCCCAATATAGCTTCTCTTCTAACCCGGGCTTTTCTTCCCATCAGTATGAATTCAAAGCCAAGAACATTAAGAAGAAGAAAGTGAGCATCATCGTGTCCGTGGATGGGGTGAAGGTGATTCTGCGCAAGAAGCAGAAGGTGAGACTTCTCCAGCCCAGCTGGAGCACTGGGGGCCAGAGCACGTCTGGGTATTACTGCTGCTCGGGATAGTCACACTTCTACCAAAACTGGCCTTTTCTTAAAAACCACCCAGAATTGTCACAAAAACACTCCATTTTTCATCAAACTAATAACAAAACCTTGCTGAAAAAAGTGGGAAAATGACACCGTGGGAAGAGGATTTTTTTTTTTCTACCAAAAAATGTCAAGCTTTCAGGAAATAGTTTCTTTTTCTCGTTAATACCAGTAGGCTTTTTTCACATTGCCTGGGCTGAGCACTCCTCAGCTCCTCGCCCAGGCTGTGCTTGCCCCTGAGCCGAGCCAGCAGCTGTATCCAGAGCTCCTAAGCCCTAGCTCAGAGCCGTCTTCCCCAAAACATGCTACTTTTCTGCATATTTGGGCTATAAATTAATCTTAGGGACCGTTTTCAGCCCTGAAGGCTGTGATCAGATGACCAGACATGATAAATGATTGAAGAAATCTGGTTTTAGCCAAGATACTGATGAAACAGCCATTGCTCCTGCAGTCAAACTGTAGCCCAGATTTTGGCCTGGGACAAACGCACCCTTCTCCAGGGTTCCTGCACATGACCCTGGTGGAGTTTCTACTTGACTCACTGTAGTTTTGTTTCTGCTCTCTGCTTACAGAGAAAGGAGTGGACCTGGGATGAGAGTAAGATGGTGGTGATGCACGATCCCGTGTACAGGTATGCAGCAGGGGATTTGCACCAGCTAGGTCAAGTCAGCCCTGAGCAACACGTGTCTGTCCTCCTGCTTGCTGAGTTACCTCCACCAAGGCTGGCTTTCCAAAGGACCATGAAAAATTAACACGGTTGCGAAATTACCACTGATGGGGAATCCTTTTCATACATTTTTGAGTGTGAGATGGACTGATCTAGCTTTGAAGCTGGGTCTGCTTTGAACAGGGTTAGACTAGGTGACCCCCAGAGATGCCTTCATCCTGAATTATTCTCTGATTCCAACTCTGAAGACAGGCTTCCCGCGGTTTTCCTTCAGAGCATGGCTCGCCGTGTGCTTCTGAAGAAGGGCCTTACTCTAAGGTGTAAGTGCTTACAGGGAATTAACCCGTACAGGACGTGGCAAGACAGCACTGACTTCCCATAGCACCTGCCATGGGATCTCAGAGTATTTTGGAGACCCCAAGCTCTGCAACCCCAGCGATGGCGTTTAGCCTGCGGATGCAGTTAGGAGCAGAGGTTGCACCAGGCTGTTAGATCTGCCAAGTGAGTAAAGTGCACCACGAGCCCGAGGGCCGCAGCCCCAAGGGCTGGGATCACCAGCACCAGTTCTGTGGGTCAGAGCCCTTGGTGAGGAGAAAAGGAGCAGAGGACGTGCTGATGCATTATCCGCACACCTACCTCTCACTTCTGGCATTCTTTAAAGATTATTACATGTGGTACATCAGCAATAATTGTTCCAATTGTAAGTTCAACACAAAGAAATTCCAATGGCAGAAAAGAGTAAAAGAAAAAACCATTTCAAGAATCCCTTTGGTTTCTCTATTCAGAGCTGAACTCACTTGTCACATTTCTACCCAATTAAATCAAACATATAAAAAGGTCTTGAAAAATGGTTTTTGCAGCACAGGGAGGACAAAGAGACAGCCTGAACAGGAGAGAGAGAAATCCTCCAAGTGCACTCAGCATCCCTGGGAGAGGCGTCCAGGGGATGTGGGGTTTTGTGCCACCTGCCTGCGTCCCCGGGCTGGCTGCACCCATTTGCTGCACAGGCAGTTGTGCCACGCTGCAGCCTGGGCAGGGATTTATTGCTGGGGCTAAAAATAGCCCCACGCTTTCCAATACTATAGATTTTTTTAGCTCTCCCACAGCGTCTTTAAAAACCTTTTGCCTACTTCAGAAACCGGAAGGTTTTCCATCAAGCCAGAAACACTCTCTAAATCCATCGTCTCCTGCCTTGAAGATTGCAGGAGGGGCCGTGCACCAGCACCGCCTCGTTCCTCCAGCCCCGGGTGCTGTGAGCCAGCCTGTCCTGGGGACACACGGGAGCCACTGAGGTTGTCTGGGGGACAGAGACGCCCTTCAGTTTTTAATTCCCTTTGTCTCTCTCCCACCTAGAATCTTCTACGTGTCACACGACTCGCAAGACCTGAAAATATTCAGTTACATCGCAAGGGACGGCGCTAACAACTCCTTCAGGTGCAACGTCTTCAAATCGAAGAAGAAGGTAGGATACTCCGGGGATGATGACTGGGTCAGCCCCGGGCGAGAGGTCTCCGAGGGACCCCACACCTTCCCGTGCAGGAGCCACAATAACCACTGGGTCGGAGGGTGCAGATCCCCGGGGAGAGACCGAGGCAATGCCAGTGCTGGACATCCCCCAAAACCCTGTCTGGTGCCTGCCCCCTCCTGCCCGCCTGGCCCAGCCCACGGGTTGATGCGAGCACCCGTCTCCGAGAGCGGGGGGCCGGGGGCTGCCGTCTGTCAGGTCTCACGGTGGGCAACGCTGGAGCCCCCCAGCATGGGAAGAGACCTGGAGGTGGGGCAGCCGCGGGGCGGGGAGCGGAGGGGAAGGCTCCCCGTTTTCCTGCTGGCTGAGCAGCAGGCGGGTTTTCGCTCCGCAGAGCCAGGCCATGCGGGTGGTGCGCACGGTGGGCCAGGCCTTCGAGGTGTGCCACAAGCTGAGCCTGCAGCACGCCCTGCAGAACGCCGACGGGCAGGCGGACGGTGCCAGCGACAAGTCGGCCGAGGAGCAGCCGCTGGAAGGTGACATGCAGCTCCCCGGGGGGGCACGGGCAGACCCCTCCCTCAGCAGTGGCACCAGGGATGCCTTGGGGTGGGGAGCTGTGAGGTGACATGTCCTTCGTGGGACAGCTCTAGTGACAAAGCTTCAGGACCTTTTGGATGGGGGACACAGGGAATCCACCCTGTCTGCCCACTCGTCCTGGGCACGGAAGGCAGAGGCTGAGCCCCCTTGTCCATCAGGCTGGGGGTCTGCAGGCACCAGCCCCTTCCTCCTGCCCCTCCGCAGCACACCAAGACTCGAAACAAGTCTTGACCTCATCCCTGAGGTGCCACCGCAGCTCCTTGCTGCGATCCTGCAGTGAGGGTGGGGGGCTTGGGTTTATTTATCCGTCTTGTTTGAAGTTCATCAGATAAAGGGCTCCAAGATCACGGATGTAGACGAGGTTGGCATCGACTCTGACAGCATCTGTGTGTCCGAGAGGGGACCCGGAGAGCTGCCCGCTGCCAGGGGGGACCTCGGCATGCTGAAGCCTGGGCAAGCCCCGAAGGATAAGAACTGCCAGGTAATGGAGGGGACGGTCCATGTGCTCTGCCACTGCTGGGGTCCCTCTGCTCGGGGTCACTGTATCACGGCTTGATTTGGAGGGGCTTTCACGGAGACCCCTTGCAGACCCCGCTCCTGGCTCCTCACCCTTGCAGCCCCTGTGGCAGCCCCTGTGGCAGCTAAGCTGTGTCCTGGGGCAGGGAGAGAGGAGAGAGCTGGGAGCGGGGCTGCGCCACATGGCTGAGCAGGCTTCAGACGTGACTGGGAAGAGCCCAGGGGTGCAGGCAGAGGGGTTTGCTGGAGCAGTCACCCAGCGCTAGGAAGGAGAAGCGAGGCAGGACCCTGCTCCCGCAGCAGCATCCACACAGCAGGCAGAAACTAAGAGGAGGCACCTCTGCCAAGACGACCATTTCCCTGCCACACAGGGTGGATTTCTGTGCCCCCAGTGCCGCTCTGCAGCAGTCACTCATCCGACTGCCCCGGCAGCAACCCCCGGCTCCCCTCACCCCCCCCAGACCCAGGGATCAGCATCCCCGAGGGGGCTCAGCCCCGGCAGCGCAGGCCCCCGGTTTCTCTATAATGAATAGCTCCTCTGCAGAGCTCTGCGAGCGCTTCCCGGCGGCCTGAATGGCATCGCTTCATCTCACACAATTGTGTCGCTCGCAGGGTCTGGCTGAAAACAGCTGCGGTGAAACGCGCTCCGTGGGATTCGCTGCCGTGGCTGGACAGGCCGGGTGTCCCTGCGCTTTGCTTTGGGGTGCTGGAGCTGCCCCAGCAGGGGAGGGCAGGGTGCGGGAAAGGCAGCAGCCCCAGACCAGCCCCCAGTGGGGCACCCTGTGAGGGGAACTGCCCTAAAACACCCCCTGCTGCCAGGGGGGGCAGCTGCCTGACTGGGGGGGACACACTGCTCAGCTCTGGGCTGCCTGCTGAGACCCTCAGTGCTACGGGGGGCCAGGTGAGCCATGCATGGGGCCACCACACCGTCCCAAGGCACATGAGGGGGCTGTGAGCACACCCACCCTGGGCTGAACTGGTAGATCCCGGGACTCAGCACCACATGGGGGTGCGGGGGGCTCACGGCTGCGTCCGGAGCTGCTCGGAAATCGGTCAGTGCATGCGCTGCCTTCTCACATGGGCTATCTCCGAGGGCTGGGACCCCCGCAGACTTTTGAGTACCTTGATGGCCCTGACACTCGATTGCTGCTGCGCCTGGCAAATGCTTCAGGGAACAAGAAACCGCCCAGCCTGGGCAGGCTCGTCATGGAGGAGGTGACAGGGTGTTCGGGTCACTCCCTGCCGCTTCCTCCCTGGGGACCTGCCCTCCCTGTGTGGAGCTGCGGCCAAACACAGATGATGCAGCCCCGCCGGCTCTCTGGGAGCAGGAGTTGCCCCAAAACACACTCTTGGGGATAACGTAGACATGCAGAGCCTGACACGGAGCCCAGGGCTGCCCCCTCAACGCTCCCATGGTGCCAGGGGTGCGGGGGCTGCTCTGCCACGCTGGGCTCCGTGCTGTGGGCAACCACAAGCCGAGTCCCAGCCTGAGCCGGTCGGGGCACTCACCCTGCCCGTTTCTTTGTGCCCAGGATGCCGAGAACTGCTCCCTCCACCCGGCCAGCTCCCAGCAGCTGCTCAGCCCCGGCAGCCCCTGCTCCTCAGCCTCCATCACCCCGCTGGCCTCCCAGCACTGCCTCCAGCTGCTCCAGCAGCAGCTTCTCCAGCAGCAGCAGCAGACGCAGGTGGCCGTGGCCCAGGTACGCGGCCCCTCGGCCAGCACCAGCCCTCCCGCTCTCCCGGCTCCGGCCCCCGGCCAGGCTGGGCTGGCGGCGGCAGGAGCCCTGTGCTGGGGTGGGAGCGGGACGGGGAGCTCGCAGCGTTGCTCACAGCCCAGCTCGCAGCATTACTCGCAGCATTACGCGCAGCAGAGCTTGCAGAATTGCTCGCAGTGGAGCTTGCAGCACTACTCGCAGCATTACTCGCGGTATTACAGCACTACTCGCAGCATTGCTCACAGCATCACTTGCAGCACTACTCATAGTATTACTCACGGCATCACTTGCAGTGTTACTCACAGCATTATTCGCCATAGTACTTGTGGCGTTACTCACGGTGTCACTCGCAGAATTACTCACAGCGTTACTCGCAGTGGAGCTCGCAGCGTTGCTCCCGCACAGCTCAGCACCCGCAGGCGTGGGGCTGGCTGCACACATGAGCCCAGGCGGCTCTGGCAGGGTCCCAGGGGGTCCCCACAAGGCCACTGGAACCCGTTACATCCCATTTTGTGGAAGCGAGCCCCCCGCCCCCGAGTGCTTCTTCTCCCAAACAGGCATCAGAGCGGGAACCCGGTGCCTCCCCACCTCGTTTCACGTTACCGAGGGGGTAAAGGACCCTCCCTCCTATCCCCGCATCCCCCTGCCCGGAGCCGGACCGGGGCTGAGGGAACCGGGAAAGCGGGGGGGGCTGCTGCGGCCGGCAGGGGGCGCTCGATGGCCGCCGCGCGGCTCATCCCGGGGGATCCCGGAGCTGCTCGGCCCGTCCCGCATCCCACATCCCTGTCCCGCATCCCCCCCTCCTGCATCCCTCATCCTGCATCCTCCATCTCCGCATCCCCCCCCCCCCCCCC